GTTATACACAGTACTTATACTGGGATAAAATTTAGTTAATAAATGGATTAAAAATAATTAAGAGGTAGTCCGCAGTTAAAGGGTATAAAATTTCATAGTAAAAATCGGCGGAATAATACTAATACTTTCATATAAAAATTCAAATATCTCGGGATCTACTGGACCGTTTGTGATGATTTTACTTATTTCCTATGAACATAATACTTAAATTTAACCCACTAAAATTAGATCAATTAATTAATTTTAATTGTTAATCTGTAAATTTTTCAGCAAAAATTTAAATTGCTTTTAAGAAAAAAAAACACTTAACAATACCAATTATAAATATAGAGTATTATTAGTATACTTAGAGTAACATGAATTATACAGTTTTGTTAAAATCAAATAATAATAACAAAAATTAACTTTTTAAATAGAGCATTTATCATTCCCTGGCACTGATAGAATTTTTATAGGTGAAGTTGGAGGGGGTGAGTTAATACAAAGAAATCTGGCTTCATTAAATGTTTTCTTAACATAATCATGATTACTATTACACCTATTAACGCTATGGTAAACTAACTTAGGGTTGTTTCCTTTTTCAATAACCACAGCCGTATGATGCCAGTTATCAAAAACAATTAGGTATTTCTCATTATATTGTATAAAGTCTCCTGGTTGCAGATCCTTTAATTCACATTTTCTCGCTAAGTTGGATTGTATAAGATAATCGTAAAAACCATTTACATTAACCCATGCATATGTACCACAATACCAATGTTCAGTTGGAAAGAAACCACCACTGAGTAAGACTTGAGAAGCAAAATTGGTACAATCTTCTTCTTCACCATTTTTATTTTTTTGAACAGGGCAAATTTCAGGTTTTGGATTGCAGCAATAGGTCATTGCAAAATCAACTGCCTTCTGTCTGTCATAACTATCGCCAGTAACTTGATAGAAAAATATCAGACAATAAAAAAGATATATCTTGAAAATTGAAGACTTCATTTTTGAAGATAAATTATATTGGTAAATAACTTTTATAGCCATATTTATCGGTTATTAATAGCGTACATACGTACCTATTACTCTAGATATGTCGGTATAACGCATATTTGTTTAAATTAAAAAACACTACCACATTGAAGCCAGCATTATGTAAGCTAAAATTACACCGTGCTGTCTTGCGCAGTGGCCTATCCTTAGTGATACCTGGCATAGGATTGCATCTTTATTATAAAAGTTTTAGAA